TTTTAAAAGTGGGGGTGGGCCCTTTTGGGAAGTCTTCCCCATTGCCAATTAAGAACCCAATTTCAGGGGGCGCGGGAACCCCCCAAGAAGGGGGGCCCCCTAAAGGCCCTCCTCCCCTTTAACAAAACTTTAGGGGGTTTATTTGCCGGTTTTTGAAAGTTGGTTGCCCAAAAAGGGTCCAAAACTTTTTTAAAACCTTTAAATAAATTTTTTTCCCCCTTTTTAAATTTCCCCCTTTTAAAAACAAATGATTTTTTAACATTTTTTTTTTTTAAAACCCAAGCTTTTGGGGTTTCCTCAAAGGGCTTTTTTTTTCCCCCCCCCCTTGGGGGCTTATTTTTTTTTTTTTTTTTTTTTTGGTGGCTAATTTTTTTTGGGCCCCTTTTTTTTTTAAAAAATTTTTTGGGGTTTTTTTTTTTTTTTTCCAAAATTAAAAAAATGGGTTTTTTTTTAAAAAAAAAAAAAAAATTTTTTTTAAAAAAAAAAAAAAAAAAAAAGCCTTTGGTTTTTTTTTTTTTTTTTTTTTTTTTAAATAAAAAAAAATAAAAAAAAATAAAATATTTTTTTTTTAGTTTTTTTTGATTAAATTTAATTTTTATTAAATTTTTATAATTTTATTTTTTTATTTATATAAAATAATTATTAGTTATATGATTACATGATTATATGATTACATGATAATATGATAATATGATTATATTTAATATTTAATATTTAATATTTGTTAATAATTATTTTTAAAAAAAAAACAATGACAAAAGATGCAAAAAAATTAAAAATATAATATTTAAATAAAAAAATAATAATAATATTTATTTTTATCCTTTACTAAATGGTTTCCAAATACATATTTTTAATATTAAAAATTCAAATATTAAATATTACCTTATTTACATATAAACAACCAATTAACCCTCCAAATTTATAAAAAAATTTTTTGAAAAAATTTAAATTTTTTTTTTTTTATTTTTTTTTTTTTATTTTCATTTTTCCAAATTATTTATAAACACAATAATTATTTTTGTAAATAGATATAAATAAATAAAACTATATAAATATGACAACTGCTTCTAAAAAAGAAAGATCAGAACCATGGGTTAGTAAATAGTATGGTTAAATATTACTTTAAATTTATATTTTTTAAAATTAATATTAATTTTTTATTATTTAAATTTTTAGCCGTCCAAAAACAATGGATGATGTATCATACCAAGATGATGTAGTATCAGCATTAAAGAAATCATTAAGTACAGGCAATGTAAATATAATAATAATAATACCAATAATAATTATGATTGGTAATGATGAGAAATATTAATAACTATTCACTATTTTAGTTACCACATTTATTATTTTATGGACCACCAGGTACAGGTAAAACATCAACTATATTGGCAATTGCAATGGATATCTATGGACCAGAGTTAATAAAGCAAAGAGTTTTAGAATTAAATGCATCTGATGAAAGAGGTATTGAAATTGTTAGAACAAAGATTAAAAATTTTGCAGGATTTACAGTTAATAAAACAGTATCAAATGGGAACAACGCAGGGGCAACATTTAAATTGATCATATTGGATGAAGCAGATAGCATGACGTCCGATGCACAAGCAGCACTTCGTCGTACCATTGAAACCACATCAAAAACCACCCGTTTTTGTTTATTATGTAATTATATTAGTCGTATTATAGATCCATTGGCTTCAAGATGTGCAAAATTCCGTTTCAAACCATTGGACAGCGAAGCAACTATCGAACGTTTAAAATATATTTCAATTCAAGAGGGTATCAAATGTACAGACTCTGTTTACCAAGCAATTCAAACTGTTAGTGACGGTGATATGCGTAAAGCCATTACCTATTTACAATCAGCTTTTCGTTTCTATGGCAACAAGCTAACAGAAGACACAATTTATAATATCTCTGGAACTTTATCACCTTTGATTATCACTTCTTTAATCAAATCTTGCAAATCAAATTCTTTCAAGGATTTACAGTCGACTGTCCAATCTATCATTAGTCAAGGTTACCCAGTTTCTCAAGTAGTTTCACAATTATTTGATTTTGTTTTATCTGATTCAAAATTCAACGATAAACAAAAATCCCTCATATCAATGAAAATTGGTAATGTCGATAGAAATTTGATTGATGGTTCTGAAGAATTTTTGCAACTATTAGATTTATCTTCATACATAATGAAGTTATTAAATAATAGTAATGACAATGATGAAATGATATCATAACAAATTATAAATAGATAATAAATAATAAATAAATAAATAAATAATTAAATAATAATAAACCAATTAATTTTGGTTTTAATTATTATCATTTAAAAATAAATAAAAATTCAAAAAAAAATATTTTTTGATCATTTTTACCCCTTTATTAAATAAATTATGTGTTATGATTAAAAATTTAATGAAGGTTTTATTGTTAAGTGCTGATAAGAACCAATCTACTATTTTATTGATTTCTTTAATTGAGTATGTTATCCTTGTCGGTTTTTTTCCTCGGAGTGGTGGGTAATGCCAATTCCTGTGTCCTAAAAAGGAATTATCACGGGGAAGATTATCAATATAAAAAAGTTTCGCCCAAAGGGGGGCTCGAACCCCCGACCACAAGGTTAAAAGCCTTGCGCTCTACCGACTGAGCTATCTGGGCAATTAGTTGAAAATAGTTTTTTCACTTTTTTTAGGGGGTTTAATATAAAATATAAAATAAAATCAATCAGACGATATTTTTTGCAATTGTGTAAGCTTCAGAATAATATGGATTTCATTTATATTACATAAATTCTATAATGGTTGTTTTACACAGTGCAAAGGAATTGATACAGTAGTGCGCAAAAGTTTAGACCCCTTTTATAAAATATTTTTTTATTTTTCTTCAATAGTTAAATTATTTATTCCAAAAATCTAAAATATATATATCTGAGCTATACTTATTTATCAACAAATTTTTTTTTTTTTTTTTTTATAATTTTTCTGTTGCATTTTTATTACCTCTGATTAGACATATATGATCTGCAAGAGCTGTTAAGACTATTTAATTGAGATTTCTGAAAAATTATTGATATGATAAAATAAAAATAAAAAAAAAAATAAAATTATAAAAAAAAATATTTTTTAAAATTAAATATATGGTGATTGATGTTTTATAAAAAGGTAAAAAAATGTGTTAATGTTAAATTTTTTATTTAATTAAATGATTAAGTTTAATTCAATATTAAATGAGTGAAATTTATTATAATATGCAGTGGATTTTTTGCTACCTGTTTTAGAACAACAACCACTTTTACAAAAATAAAGAAAAAATTTGTATTTTGTAATGTATTTTATTTACTTTTAATTAATGGACCATTAACAATTTATTGTAGGGGGTTTAAAGAGTGAAATAAATCATTATATTTGAGGTAAATAGAAATTTTGAAAAAATAAAATAATAAAAAAAATTTAAATTTTTTAAAATTAATTCTTTTTATAAAAACAAAATAAACTTCATTAATATTTTTTCATTTTAACAAAGTCTATAAAAACTGCAAATATAATAATTTATTTCACTATGTAAAATTATAAAAAAATATGTTATTATTAATTTTAATTTATAATAATCATGATTAAATATTTTTTTACTTATTTACCTTTATAATTATTTAAAATTCTTATAGTTTTTAATTTAGCAAAATTTTTATATTATATTAATTTTTTATATTTTTTTTTTCTTTATTTTATTTCTATTGAACTTCTATTAAAGTATAACAATTTTTTTTATTTTTTTAATAAATTATAATTTTTAAATTTTAAATTTTTTTTTTTTTTTAAAAATTAAATAAATTTTTAAATTTTAAATTTTTTTTTTTCATAACACTCACACCCACATTTTCACTCTTTGCATTTTATATAATACATATACATTTATTTAATTATACATATACACATCTTACATTTTTTTATAATCAATTTATCACAAACCATATTTCATTAAAAAAAAAAAAAAAAAAAAGTAAAAATGATTTTTCCAATAGTTGGAGCTATCTTCCTTTATTTATTTTTATTTTTTATCTCCAAATACTTCACCAATACCAACAACAACACACCACCACCATCACAACAACAACCACAATCACCACCACAATCACCAGAATCAACCCCACAATCACCAGAATCACCACAATCACCACAATCAACACAATCAACACAACCAAAACGTAGTGCATCAATCCCTAATTATAGAAAACTATTTCAAGATATGGATGCATACGAAAAACAACAACAAGAACAAGATGAACAGGATGAACAACCAGAGCCACAGGCGCCACAACCACAACCACAAACAAAACGTTCTGCATCAATCCCAAATTATAAAAAGCTATTTCAGGATATGGACGCTTTTGAAAAACTACAACAAGAACAAGAACAAGAACAGGAACAAGAACAACAACCACAACCACAACGATCATATTCAACTGCACAATCAACCAGCTATCCAAATTTAAATAAAACCCACTCTCGTTATAATACTGGTAGTGCACCATCAACATATCAACCACAACCACAACAACCACAACATTCTCATTCAACTACACAAGCAAACAGCTATCCTAACTTTAATAAAACCCAATCACGTTATACTACAGGTGGCGTTCCATCAACCAGTCAAAAACAAAACCCTCAACCACCCTTAAATCCAAACCCACAACCATCAAGTGCACATTCTTTTAGATACCCAACATTTAATAGGGATCAATCACGTTATAGTGTTGCTGGTAATTCTACACCCACCAATTCACCACAACAATGCCCACAACAACCACCACAACCATTTAAACCATCAAGGGCAGAATCGAATTACCCAGCATTTAATAGTGCACACTCTCGTTTCAATACTACTGACGGACCAAAACCAGTAAATACTCCAACCGACCAACAACAAAGGGCACACAGATCATCAGAATACCCATCTGTCAATAAAGAACAATCCCGTTACAAGTGTGCTAGTTCAACATCAAATATTCCATCTTTCAGTTCTGCAAATAAAGAAAAATTAGATAGAGAAAAAGCAGAAAAAGAACGTGTTGAAATAGAAAGATTAGAAAAAGAAAAGATGGAAAGAGAAAAGTTGGAAGAGGAAGAAAAAGAAAGAGTCCGTGCAGAAAAGGAACGTGAGGAAAAAGAAAGATTAGAGAAAGAAAGATTAGAGAAAGAAAGATTAGATAAAGAAAAAATAGAAAGGGAGCGTTTAGAAAAAGAAGAGGTTGGCGAATGTTGTATTTGTTACACCCAATTAAACTCCGACAATTCCACCTCGATAGATTGCTCTCACAAATTTTGCTACAGATGCATCACTAAATGGTACCAAATAGAAGATACATGCCCATTGTGCAGAAAAACATTTTATTATATTCAAGTAAGTAATTCATACATTAATATTTATAAATAAAAAATAAAAAATATATATATTAATTTATTTTATTATTTTATTGCAGAGAGAGGGTCGTATTGCAACAGATGTTGAATTGGATAGAATTCTTCAAAAATACAGTTCTGAAAATAATTCCGAAGAAGAGTCCAAAGAAGAGTCCAAAGATGAGTCTGAAGATGATCATTCCGTTTATGAATCAGATTTCGATTCAGACGATCATTCTGTTTATGAATCAAATATCGATTCCAATGATCATTCCAATCATGATTCATCTTCTGTTAACAATGAAGAATTTGTTGACTCTATGGATCTCGATTAGTCATATATTTCAACTCTTTTGAAAAAAGCTCGAAAATGTACCATTAAATTTTGAATATCAAATAGAAAGCAAATTATTAAGGTAACAATAATGATTATCATTAAAATAGTTATAATTATATTTAAATATAAAAGAAACTAATATTTAATTTTAATATCTATTTAGTTAAATTCTAATTCTTTATTTTCCGAATCAATACGTTTTTTGTTTAAGATCTCTAATCAAACATTGGGTTTATGTTAAATAAATAGTCAAAACAAAGTGCACCATAATCATCATGGAATCCATTTACATCAACTATTATCACATTTTTCTTTTGATAGCTCGCAAACATATATTTAAATCACCACTACCACCTCAGTACTTAAATGGAACCACCTCACAAATCACACTCAAAATTATAATCCAGTAGTATAACCACAACCACAAATTCAACTTTTACAACACATACCAAGAACATCACCATCTCAGTACACTTTACCATAACAATGTTAATTATAGCCATTATGGCAGCATTCTAATCAAGTAAGTAAATTTTCATAAAATTAAAAATAAAAACAAAAACTTAAAAAAAAAAAATCAAATAGCTGACATATTTTAATTTAACCCACAGGCTCCAAGAAATTAACAATCATTCATCATTTGTATAATAAACTCTGTATATTTCACTTCTAGATGAATAAATTTTAGTTATTTTAATTTTAGAATTAGACCTCCGGTATCACCCACTTTCTTGTTTACTAATTGTACAGGTAAATATAAATAATTAATAAATCAAAATTAATAAAATAACATATAACTAATATCTATTTTTTTATAAAATTTAAATAGAAAGGTTTTAATCTTTACAATTTAGATTTAAATACACACATAGCTCGGTTCAACACACAAGTATCCAATAGTTATTTATGTAAAATTTCAGAATATTCAAATTTATTTAATTTAAAAGTAATTCGGTAGTGAAAATTGAAGTAAAAATTTTAAAACAGTAATAGAGTAACTATTTGATGGATATAATACATTGCTCTGGCCAAGCAACTATGGTAGCCATCGAATGGTTAAGATGAACAAAAGAGTTAGTGGTCCCTATTCAACATCAATCCACGAATAATCCTTTCACTCAAATAATAACAATGTTGCCAGTCTTCATCCAAGTTTTTAGAATGGAATTTTGGACCTCCTATGTGTTTAACTATAGATTAGTTTATTAATTATATAAATAAATTAAAACTTTATAAATAAAAGAAACAAAAGAGAATTTTATATATCAATAGTTTAACCTTTTTTTAATTAAAATTTTTTTAACTTTATTTATTTAAAATTGTTTTTTTAATATTTGAAAAGAAAACCATAAAACTAAATGATTTTTTTATTTTGTTTATTTTATTTATTTTTTAATGATGAAAGCTTTGACCATCAGCATGATCAATATTTGAAGCCAATGGATGTTTTTGTAAATAATCTATGCTACGAATTAAATCATCAATAAACAATTGGGCCATATCACGACTAAAACCATGTCTAACTAATACTCTTTGAATAACAATGTTTTTTTCTGTAATATTTAATAAATATGAAGCAACTTGCCATCCTCTAATCTTCATTCTTTCAGAAAGATCGTATAAATTGAAATTAACTTTGGCATCCTTCTTTAAAGTCCATGCAACACCTGGGAGACCTGTTTTACCATCATAAATGATATCGAAAATACCTAATTTGCTAACTTGTTCACCTATAAATATACCATGGCCAACACAGACATTGTGAATCTTTGCAAATCCATTTCTACCATGACGAATAAAGTTATAGTATTGAGATACGATAGGACCTGCAGATCTTGAAAAGTTTAATGTAAAGGTTTTCATTAATCCACCTAAATAATCGACTTCAAAAACCAAATCATTGTGTAAATCTTCTTTTTCTCTCCATATAACCCAGCCTACACCTAATGGTGATAAACCATATTTGTGACCTGATGCATTGATGGATTTTACACGTGGTAATCTAAAGTCCCAAATGATATTTGGTTGAATAAATGGAGCAACAAAACCACCACTAGCAGCATCGACGTGAATTGGAATATTGATACCAGTTTCTTTTTGATATTGATCCAATGCATCACTAATACTCTTGACATCTTCGTATTGGAGGGTAAAGGTAACACCTAAAGTTGGTACAACACCAATGGTGTTCTCGTCAACTCTTTTCAAAACCTCTTCAGGTGTCATTAAGTAACGATCTTGTTCCATTGGGATTTCTCTTAATTCGATATCGAAATAAAGTGCAAATTTATGCCAACAAATTTGAACTGGTCCAGTAATTAAATTTGGTTTATCTGTTGGTTTACCTTCTTTCTTTCTTTGTTCTCTCCATCTCCATTTCAATGCTAAACCACCCAACATTGCAGCTTCACTTGAACCAGTAGTTGAACATCCAATAGTACCTGTAGGATTTGGTGAGTTCCATAAATCAGCAATAATGTTGACACATCTATTCTCTATCTCTGCAGTTTGTGGATATTCATCTTTATCGATCATGTTTTTATCTATACATTTATCCATTATTTCGTGCACATTTTTTTCGAGATCAGTTTGACAAAATGTTGCTAAATTTTGTTTTGCATTACCATCTAGTAATAACTCATCCAAAATTAAATTCTTTATAACTTCTGGGTCATTTGGTTCATCTTCAAGTTTAAATTTTGAAATTGGTCTGCATGATGCTTCATCAGCATATGAGTCATAAAATTTACCTAAATTAAAAAATAAAAAATAGAATAATAAAAGTTAAAATAAAAATAAAAATAAATACAAATATTTTTATTTAGAAAAGTTTTTTTTTTACCGTTTAATGTCATTGAGTAGTATTATTTTATTATAACTATAAACTATATGGTGGTTGTTGCATATAAACCAATATTGATCACTTCGTAAAAAAAAAAAAATCTTTAAAAAAACTTTTTTTTAATTAAAAACAAAAAAAATAAAAATAAAAAAAAAACAAAAAAAAAAAAAAAAAAAATAAATTTATTATTTTTATCCTTTATCCGTAATCTTAAAATGTAATTTTTTTTTTTTTTTAATATTTATTATAATGATATTTTATATTTATTTTTAAAATTTATTTATTTTTAAAAATTAACAATTATTTATTATTAATAAATATTTATTTTGATTTCTATTTTTTAAAAAAAAAAATCGCAAAAAATAATATGTCTACCATTATTTTTTTTTTGAAAACTAATAAATATTTCATATTATTTTTTATTTAATGAGTGATTGGTTTTTATTTTTAGTTTTATATTATGATGATTATAAAATAATTATTGATTTTTATAATAATAAAATATAATTTGAAAATAAAAATAAATTTAAATATAAAAAAAAAAAGAAATAAAAGGTTACCATATATAAATTTAAATATGTATAATTAATTGATTAATTTAAATTTTTTTTTTTTTTATAAAATAAATTAAAAATTAAATATTTAAATATTTAAAATTGAAATTATTCCAAAAAAATAATTCTTTGATTTTTTTTCAAATTTTTTAAATCCTTAATTTTTTTTATGAAAATTTTATTTTTTTTGTTTTTTTATTTTTATTAGTATTTCATTTTTTAAAAATTTAAAATTTTATAAATCAAAAATAAAACATTACATTTAATAATACAAAAAATAGTTCAAACAAATAAAAATTAAAAAATAAAATAAAAATAAAAAAAAAAATAAAATGGCAAATTATAAAATAAAAGAAGTTTTCCCAAATAGTATGGTAAATAAAAGAAAGGTTATTGCTTTTGTGATCAAAGATGTTTTTAGTAGTGAGGAGTGTGACGAATGGATAAATATAACAGAGGAAAAGGGATATGAAAAAGCATTGTTAAATATAGGTGGTGGGGAACAAATCTTAGCACCAGAGGTTAGAAATAATGATAGATGTATAATAGATAGTGAAGAAATGGCCGATAAAATATATCAAAGAGTCAAACATTTATTACCAAACGAAATGAATTATCATGAAAAAGTTAGTTTAAATGAAAGGTAAGTTTTAATTATAAATAAATTATTTCAATTTAATAATTATTTTAAAAGTATTAATTTTTTTTTTTTTTTAATTTTAGATTAAGATTTTTAAGATATTATCCAGGACAAGAATTTAAATTACACAGTGATGGACAATATTGTAGAGAAAGTGGTCCCAAAAAAGGTGAATGCTCATTTATTACAATTCAACTATATTTAAATAAAGTGGAAAAAGGAGGTGAAACTTCATTTTTAACTAGTAAATATTTAATAGAAAAAGAGAAATATATTCATGTTAAACCAAAAAAAGGATCAGTTTTAATTTTTCAACATGACCTCTCTCACAAAGGAAGTGCTGTTGAAAAAGGTATAAAATATTGTGTAAGAAGTGATATTATGTATAAACCAATACCAAATACCAAATCAAATTAAAAAAAAAAAATAAAAAAAATATAAATAAAATAAATAATTAAATAAATAGTTCATTATATCATTTTCATTTTCATTTTCATTTTCATTTTCATTTTCATTTTCATTTTCATAGCCTCAACTATTTTAAATAAATATAATTTATATTAAATAATAAATATAAATTAATAAATAAATAAGTTAATATTACTACATTTTCATTTTTTTATATATTCTCTAAAATATTTGAATAGATCATTTTCTTCATTTGGTAAATATAAACTTTTTTATTTTTTAATATTTTATTTT